CACACAAATCCCAAATAAACTAAACGGTTTGGACTTCCAGTTTATGTATATGTAGTCTGCAACCAAATAAAACTTTGTGGATAGGAAAGACCTGCTTATTGAAAGCATCCATTCCCGTGTCAAAACTGCTATGAACTGGCCTTCCCAGTTCGATATCATTTGTTCCAGAAGGCTGAGCTCTTGCATCACCAACAAATGAATCCTAAAGCAGAGCCCAATTACACAATATAAGCACTGATTACAACACGCTGAAAGAAAGAAAACACAAACTATCTTTTCACGAAAACCAAATTTTCAATGGATGATGCAAAAAAACACTTACAAATTAACCAATCTGTTGAACGCAAATTCAATTCAATTGGTTTAAAAAGTTTTGGGTGAACAAGGTTTACTAATGAGAAAATATCTGATTTCAATGGTATTATCATTGTTAAACAAAAGCAATAAATATAAAGCCTTTTATGACAGAATCAGCAGTCTCTGGTCAGTTGCTAAGAAAACTCTGAATAACAAATTCATACATCAAAGACTTTTGACTTCCAGGGACCATTGGAAAAAATGCATCACTAAAACTGAGAACTCTGTTCTTTTCTTAAAAAAGACAGTAGGTCCCCTTTCAGTCAGTCATCTCATCAACTAAGGGGCAAAGTTAATATCAGTGAAAACTCAACTTTGAGTGATCTGTGATTCCTCTAATACAAGATTCATCTTAAATTACAAGTGGGTAATATCCAAAAGTTTGGAATTTACATGAAAATCACAGATAAAATTTGCCAGGCAGTCAAAAGCCAATCGCCAGTAAAAAGGGTACCAATCCAAACCAAACTGCACCAACCCAGTTCTTAAGCAAAGCCAATAAACCCAAATTCAAATACCGAATTCAGAACATTTAAATCTTACTGACGAAATCCAATTGTCATCCAAGACAGTGCAAACTAACTGTTACTGCAAAATAGTAACAGTTTATGAATTTAATTAAAAAACCAAATTACCGTAAGCAGGTCGTTCATCTTGAACAAAATCAAAAGGCCTCAGAGAAAGAGCGCTCGCGAGAGAGAGTAAAGTTGGGAGATTGTGGAAGAAAGAGAGCTAGAAGAGTGACGCGGTCGTTGGCTTTGTTCGTTGGCCGGCGATATATCGAATAATAGAAGAGCCAAATTGACAGACAGACAGAGAGACAGGCAGGCAAACCCACACGCTCACACAAAGGGCGTTACATACGAATTTCAACAGTAACTTTACCAAATATTTTACGCTGTTTATGTATACAACGAGGTTCGGCTTCCTGTCTGACAGTTTGTGTTTGCCAATGTTTAATGTTTTCATTTTTATTGAAAGCCAATGTTTGATGTTTCCTTTTTTATTTTTTATTGCAAGCCAATGTTTGATGTTTGTGAGCTTATCCAAGATGTGATTAGGTGAATTGGTTAATATAGAGTGTCTGTCTCCTTACATTTGAATAAATTCGACTATCTCTTCATATATATATATATATATTATCAAAATACCTCTTCGTACATTAAAATAATTTAA